AGGGAGAGGGTGCCTTTGTCTGCCGGACAATTGAGTCAACTCATTTGTCATTTTAGGCTCTTTAAATGAAGCCCTTGCTGCTTTTCAGCCTTCCACAATGACGGATGGTGCAGAGCTTGTCCAAAGAAATGACAACAAACTTCCCCAGGCTTATTAAGTCAATTGCTTGTGTTTGTGTCTCCTGTTGTGTTGCACTGTTTTTGTGCAACTTATCCCCTCTTTTAACTTTTCAAGCTCCTTTTCCTCATGGTGGATATCACATTTTGACAACTCTTAACTTCTAGTTCTGCCGGATAGTCAGGCGTTTCCTGACGTGAAGCGCTCTTTCACAATAACGTCTTTGTGATTGGCGGAAGTGAGAGATGATGACAGGGGACCCCTCCACTATCTCATTCACATCTTTAAAATAGGAAGGGGTGGTGGTAGCAGTGATGGGGTGAGGTTGAAAGACCCCCTGCGTGAGAACTTCCGAAAATGGATGAGATTGACTTGGGAGGAAGCACAGTCAATATTTAACCAACACACTTTAATTTTGGAAAGAACGTCATTTGCTTCTTTAAATGATTCCACACCTTTAAACCACGTTGGCCAACAATATACTTAATTCAATGGATATGGAAATCTAATACCGTCTATGTCCACATTTATGTGAAAGACGTCAGTTGCAGTTATACCCATTCATATAATTATCTTTTATACTGAAATGTATAGCATATTTTGGATTATTACCATCTTTGACTCCAGCAAAAAGCCTTTTGGGCAAACACCCAGCACCAAACAATAGCAAAGCCATATTAACAATTTGCAAAAACAACAGTTATCACCTGTTTAAGTGAACTGATATCATTTAAAAAGTACCATACATTGCCTCAGCATTGTTTTAATAAAAAGTATTTAAGATCAAACCCTTTACATACTCTAATTTAGCTTGGATGTTTGCACGAATGATCGATTTCATTGTCACAACAGAGCAGCTGGTCCACTTCCATTAACCACCCTGTGATCTAATTAGCAGCTAAGTAGAAATAAATGTGACATTATTAGAGCAAATGACATGAGATGCATGAGACTTAATGACCCCAGGAACCATTTAATGACAGCGTGCAGTCACTCGCATTGTAAATAGAAATGTTGAGTAGTGATATTTAAAAAAAACTGCTAAATTAAAATCAATTGCATTTGGAGGATTTTTTATCGTTTACACTTTATCAAAAATGAAGGCAACCCCTTATGTGTGTGCATGTAAACCGCTGAGTTTGAGTTGGACACTTGTCTGGCTTGTGGAACAAAAAAAAGTTTCAGAAAGACAAAGTGTGTGAGAGCCGAGTGGACATGTCATCTGGCTCTCAGGAATCCTGCAGCCGAGGTGGGGGGCTGGGTGGAGGGGCTCGATGTCACTCTGCTGGAGGAAGGGGGTGTGGAGATAGGTGGGGTGTTGACTCTGAAGTGTGTGTGTGTGTGTGTGATTGAAGTGCAGTGGAGGGGGGAATGAGGGAGGGGCTGACAAGGCTCGGCTGACCCAAGAACACACACACACACACACACACACACACACACACACACACACACACACACACACACACACACACACACACACACACACACACACACACACACACACACACACACACACACACACACACACACAGGCACACACACAGGCATCACAGACACTCCAGATAGAGACGCCACCTCTCTGCTCTCCTGCTTTGCTCTTTGGACCTTGAATTTTGTTTTTGGATCACTGAATGAGCTGCTCCCCCAGCTGCAGAGCGAGTGGTGTCTTTTCAGACTCATCCCTTCTCAGCTGACTTTCAAAAAGCCTGAGCACTTCTTGGCTGAGTGGGATCTGGATCTGATTATAGCGTGGATCCGTTCAGCTCGATGCTGCAGACATGTAGCCAGAGCCAGAGCGACTGTGTGGGGCATTGTGGGAGTGAATGAGAGCTTTATTCAAAAGTGGAAAGAGAGATGCTTTTCCTGGAGGTAAGAGAACAAATAGATGAGCTGAAATGTTCATGTAGAATGATTTTGTGAGATGAAAAGCACTGTTGCAGCTCTGCTTTGGAGGGTTCTTGCATTTAAGTTCCACCATTAGGTCTGTTAATGAAGAGGCATGCAATGGATTTTGGGAGATTTCCTTGGTTTTGGTCAAAGCTAAGCTCAACAAGTGCCCATGTATTGCAGTGGCTGTGATATAGTGTATCGACAGTCCTTATGTGTCTGTGCAGGTGGTCTCACTCCAGCTGTGATAGGTCTCCTATGCACCCCCTGACACCCACTTGGCTTTTTAAAATAACACTCTTTGCCAGTCAAAGAGCGATGACCTCGGCCTTTGAACTCCACAATTTAATGGTTTTCCTAAAGTAAATCCAATGATGCATAGAAAAATATACTTTCTTTTGTGGTTTTGGTTTCAGAAAGTGCACTCCAAAGTAGTCACCAAACCTGGGACTACTTTGCCTCACAGAAAAGTCAACTTCTTGGTGGTTTTTCTGGGGTTGTGATCATTTGAAATGTCCACGTGTTTGACTAACTAACTCTTTGCTGAGGGAGAGTCCCCTTTTAAAAGTGTCAGTTGAGCGGGGGAGGCGCACACAATTAACCGTTAGCTCGCTACATCTGGCCCGTGTTTACACAGACCCAATGTTGTGACTCTTTAAATGCCTTTTTCAAACACTTTTCCCTTTTTAACCCCCTTAACCTCCTCCTGTCACGTCTCCACATCGGCTGGGCTTTAGAGGAGGGAATGGTTGGACATTTTGTTTTTGTTTTTCGACAAAGACGGCCATTGTGTTGTGGCCAAAGGGTGACACCGTGTAATGTGAGTTATGTTGGCTCAAGAATCCACAGTCACCTTTTTATCCATTACTTTTTGAAAGATATGCAGGAAGGGCAGAGGAGGAAAGACAGAAATGTAAAGTAAATTAGATGAATAATTACATTTTTGTCATTTTCGAGCCAAAAATACCAAACACTCTCTGGTATAAGCTTCTTGAAAAGTGGGATTTTTTTTTTTGCATGATATTGCCAGTTATGACAGTAAAACCAATATCTTAATATTGTGTTTTTGTTAAGTAGACAACAATTTGAACACCTTGGCTTAGATTGTGTTTCAATACAAAACATTTCAAAGGATGCCCAACCAATTTTGGGGGGAACATTTATTTTAAACTTTTTTCTTCATGCTTGAAATGTTTTGATGTTTTGTGACATGTTTAATGGGATCATGTGATATCATGCTTTGGAGAAGTACAATATGTTTTTAAGTTTATGGTGGCTTTTGTTCCACATTTAGGAACCCTTGCACCAACCCACATATTTTCCTTAACAAATTACACATCTTAATATTGTCTTTGGCCCTGTATTTTTAACACTCCAAGCTACACAAACAACCATTATTCCACTGAGATAATGGCCCTAAAAGCGCACCTTGTGTAGTTTAAACTATGGTCTGAACTAGGCTAAGCGAGATATAAAGCAGAACAGGTCAAGAAAAGCTTCTGGGTGATAACATTATCTGTCCTACCATAAAACCTGATAGATTAGTCACTGAAGAACAAAGCAACAGTCAAATAACCCTTTGTGCCTTGATAAGAGCTTTGGTTTGACTTGTTAACAGCATTTCTAATCTGTGAATTCAGTGTTTTGAGGCCCTGATCCAACTGTATGCTAATTGGCTATTGCTAACATTTCCCAAGTCATGTGTGAAGCATTGATTTTTTTCGAGAGGTCTTCAATGTTTTATTAGCCTAGATCCTTTTATTGCAAGATTTACTGCGAGTGAAATCGATTAGATGAATTACATAAAAATTGCATGTGCCCCTTTTGCTTATTCTCTAACAGTTGGAATAACTGTTTATTTAGTAGCTCTTGTTTCATAAGTATAAAAGATTGGTGAACAGGGCACACCTTTTGTTATGTTTATGAAAAGTTTGGCAATACTAGGTTCAGTTAAAATGTAGGAATTGAACTATGAACAAGTTATTGCTTAATCGATTGGAACCAGGGTTGAATTTATATATTTTTAAAATATATTCATAACCCTAATGAGGTTCTTGTTTCACAGTCCCTTAGTATCACCTGGTACACGCATTGGTCTAAATGAATGTAACTGACAGTTAACAGGCAACATGTTTGGTTAATAGAAGCCATCAACATCCTAATGTGCCTCATCGTGCTGCTTTTGTGTGGAAGATCAAACCTACATGAGGTTTTAAGGGCCTGTGTGAAGTTTTAACCCAAACAAGTTATATTCTAGTACATATTAGCATGTCAAAGAGGCAGATCACAAAGTGGTGTTATCAGGCTGAGAGGGCTCAGAAGAACATGGCTGCTGAGATAAGAGGGCTACTGCTGAAGGCAGGAGACTCACAACGACCACAATCCCTATTCATGTTACAGTCTAACCGTTATCAGCTTGTAAAGAGAGAGCTGCTGAAAGTGGTTTTATGCTGCAGCAGAGTGAATACATGCAGATTGTTTTGAAGGTTAATCGTGTCTTTATTGAAAGATTTATTTGTAGCTTTTTACTTATTATTTGCATCCATGTACTGCACATACCAGTAAATCACAGTCCTAGACTCCTAGCACAATATTAAAGGCTGCTTACACGTGTTTCACAACCTTCAGTACGCAGAGGATAAGAGCAACAGATGTTTGGTGGCAGCTGGACATATCTGTTGCATCAGATTTACAATCCCACCCCCCTTAGAAGAAATGTACTTTTGTTTACTGACGCACAGCATATTTGCACAGATTTGTATCTCGAAAGGAAATTCACTCTGTACTGCAATGTAGGGTTGCATGGTTAGTTGTTGAATAAGTGCACCATTTTGGAAAAAGCCTGCATGACTTTCCATTTTAAATCTCTTTAAAGATTAAGCAGTATTTTAGGCACTTTATCAAGCATTATTCTGTAATGGATCAACACAGGAAGTATGATATACTACACTGATGAGATGGAGAATAACAAAAAGTGTGACAAGAGGTTAAATTGTGAACGATTATATGGAGAAACGTTTTTCTTTCTTCTCTGTAATGCTGTGTACTCTGCTCTGTTTCTAGCTCTTATGGTAATCTCTTAAAACACTCCTGAGAAAACCGTTATTCTGTTGGGAAACATTGATAAGGACAGAAAAATGCAGAGGAATGAACAATAAGTGGCAAAAAAAATCCCAGCCAATCGGTGACCAAAAGAATTGAAGGTTTTTGAAATGTGATTCTTAAATCCTCCCTTGTATCCACAGCGCCCGTGTGTGATGAACCTGGAGCGCAGCGAAAGAGGCGAGCGCCCTCCTCCTCGAGGCCCGGACATGGAGCCTCGTGCTGGGGGAAAGATGGTGAAGATATCCGTGGGCTTCCAGAGGAGCTCCACCTCCGACGATGACTCTGGATGTGCGCTGGAGGAATATGCGTGGGTGCCACCTGGACTCAGGCCTGAGCAGGTAAGACCCGTTGCATTTTCCCTCCAAGATTACTTAACTTGACTGAGCAGCACAACACAAATGGAAGTTCCTTAAACTTCCAATTATATTTGACGTGACTCCCCTTATTCGAAAAGGAATCTGATTGTATAGAAGTCTAAGAAAATACTACTCGTCATGAGTTTATGGTCTTAATCACTTTTTCCCCTTTTCCATTTTGCAGAGTAAACTGGATGATTAATCTTTGAGGCTGGGCCACCTTGTAATTTACCATGTTTTTGTCTTATATTAAACTATAAATGTCTTGTTCAGTGTTCGGACATGCTTAGCTTCACCCTCTGGTTCCGAAAAACAAGATGTCGGTGGCAAAAATGTCCTCAAACCAACCTCCACTTCTTATATACAGAAGTATCTTTGTGTAATAGCTATCTAATAATATATTTTTATATAGGAAAATACATATAAATATATATTTTTCATAGCATGAGAGAGTAAACCTGTGTGCTAACAGCATGTGGTTTGAGTTCAAATGAGGATATGTTTGCAGGCATTCTGTCTTCTATGCCATGCTGGTGGATTAGTAGTGCCACATGCCTGACATCTGGCTGTGGATGTTTTCACATTAGTGTGTATTTAGGTTACAGATACAGTACTTTTCAGGCAGTCTGCAATATATTCCCATATTTCTTTCTAGAAATGCACACAGACAAACGTTTAGTCACTGTTTCTATCTCCTGTCAGCAGTGTTACAAGCTGGCTCCTTCTTTCAACAAAAGTTGCCCAAAAAAATTATTTCTTTACAACCACAAAACTGATCCCAAATAACAAACTGAGGAGGGCTGGTGTGGTCTCTTAAATAGGCCGGAGCCAGGTTCCACAGGTGTGTCTCATCTCTCCTGATTACCAGAAATGACTGAAAAAAAAATCTAATTAGCAGAGTTGTCATTGCAGGAATGAGCCAAGGCAAACATTAACATTTCCAGCCTGGCCATCTCTTTTGTGTAGAGACATTCCACAGTCAGACGCCTGTGACTGGAAGGTGATTGACATGTTTGCCCCACATTGTCACACTAATAAGGACACATAGCAACAACTGACTGTATGACAGACAGAAAATGACATTATAGGGTATTTTGAACTTTAAAACTACACAAAAACAAGCAATGGTTTAACAATCTCTCTGACCTTTAAAGTTCATTTATCCGTCTTCGTCCTCAGGTCCAGATGTACTTCTCCTGTCTGCCGGAGGAAAAGGTGCCGTACGTCAACAGTCCCGGAGAGAAGCATCGGATCAGACAGCTCCTCTACCAGCTGCCGCCTCATGACAACGAGGTATGAAAGGAGAGATAGTGATCAAACAGACATGTCACCTTATTTTGAATAATTAAAGCTCGTATTTGAAGTTTAAAAATATATATCTTTTTCGAATGTCGTCAAAATCTGTCAGAGATATTTCCATAGAGAGGTGGATGAGTTAGAGGGAGAAGTTCATTTCTTGAACTACAACAAAGCTTAACCTGATTGGTACACATTTTTCAATTTCCTTGCAGTCAAGAACATTTAAAACATTCCTCAGCCTTAACTAGTGTAAAGCCAGCAGTTGGTTAAAGCCCTTGCTAGCCTTTTCTTGTAAAAGTAAAACAATGACCACATTCCCAAACCGTCTTGTGACAGTAAAGCAGTTCCAGTCTCTTGTGTATAACGGCTTTATGTTGCGTAAAGCAGCACTCCTTTCACATGTGTGTTAATAGAGTTTGCATTAGGAGATATGGTGGAGGGGTTATCACCTGAGTGGAGGGACAGGCAAGGCCTACAGTCTGACAGAGGTGGTCTCTGTCTATATACACACACACACACACACCACACACACACACACACACACACACACACACACACACACACACACACACACACACACGCACCCACAGTGTTTGACAGTTTTTATGATGTTTGCCAGCAGACCTGGAGGGATCAATCTGACGGAGGATTATTTGCGTAACTCTGGTTCATAGAATCAGTGTGTGTTGTGCGTGTAAAAGGGGATGTGTGTGTGTGTGTGAGCTGACACGCCAGCATCGTTTACTGTTGTTTAGAGAACAACCGAGCTGGTTGTTAGGATAGTCATGGTCTTTTATCTTAGCCCTCATCACCATGTCTAAACACAGAGAAAGGGTTTGCTCACGCCATCCTTTCAACGCAGCCTCGAGGGGAATTTGCTTCAATTAAACTATTTTTCCAGCCTTATTTGGACATACACTGAATACAAAAACCATCAAATATCAGAAGTCTTTTTGTCCCTTACTTTGTCAACTCATTGTCTTTTTCATTTTTCCCCAGGTGCGTTACTGCCACTCCCTGACGGAGGAAGAGAAGAGGGAGCTCCACATGTTCAGTGCCCAGCGGAAGAGGGAGGCACTGGGGAGAGGAACACCCAAGATCCTGCCCCGAGCTCTGCACCACACCCGCTGTGAAAGTGTAAGTGCCATACGCGGATACTCACACACACACATGCACACATTTATCGCTCACATAGCCATAAGGTAAGCTAGAAGTTACGAGAAAACCAACCTGTGGTTCTTAAGTTATTTATATCGCGAGCAGCTAACATCCAGCAGCCCGAGGCTCAACCCTGATTGGCTAATGGTTTTGATCACGGACATAAACCTCCTCATTAGGGCGAGAGGGGAAGTGGGGAAATTGGGAGGCTCACGCTCAAGCCGAGTGGAGAAACCAGTTCCTCACGAGGAATTCGCCACATTTCCTGCCGCCCGTCTATATCTCAGCATGACAGACTGCAAAGAAAATGTGCAGTAATTCTCGCAGAAAGTCTTAAAAATCCAACTTTTTCCAAACAAGTCACAGTATGAGGCACATTAATCCACATCTACTGGTGTAATGACATGCAGCTGGTCTATTAAACAGCATTATGTAAGAACGTGCTGTCAAAGGAAAGTAAAAGGGCCAGTGTTTATGCATGTTAGCAGGCATTCACATGAGATAACAATATAATACAATTAAATAATAAAATTAAATAATAAAATTTAAATAAACACAGTAAATATATACGTAGGGTAGAAAGATGTATATCTATCATTTTCAAAAACATCAGAAAAAGGCACTTCACATCAATGTTCATATACTAAAATTAAACAATATGAACAGAAAACAGAAAAGATAAATAAATAAAGTAAAAAAATACTTTTGGAAAGTTTCATGTCATTAAGAAAACCAATAAATACTGGAGAAATGTTGAAGAAGGGACATTTGTATATCTGTAAAGTATAACAACACAGGTTCAAGTTTGAACACTGCATAGAAATCTACCACTAAAACAAAAACATAAACACAAGATACTAAATACATTATAATGATAGGCAAAGTAGTTTAAATGAAATGTGAAAAGCAGTGAGGTGGTGTGAGTACAATATGTTCAAATTGGTCCGGAAAAATGATTAGCGACCAATGAAAAAAAGGAACAAAGAACTGAAAACCATTCACAAGCTTGTCCCGTGATTTCTACGTGTGAGTTAGTGATAACAGCCGCCTTGAACAAAAACGTCCTTTCACTGCATCAAACATAAATATTAGTGTTATGTAGCTTCCGTGAAAATGAGCCCTGACCAATAAGTAGACCACATCCTCTGCCGTGCATCGAGGAAGAGCCGGCCGTGTTAATCCCCCCAGACAGGCAGATCAAGTCCATCACCACTCAAACACAGATGCTAAGGGATGCAAGGTCACACACACACACACACACACACACACACACACACACACACACACACACACACACACACACACACACACACACACACACACACACACACACACACACCCTGAAATGACACATAGAAGCACACATTCTTAGACATACTGAACATGCACGTGTATCCATATATCCTCTGACTCATCCTACACACGTGCACATTCATGCAACCATACTGCACATGCCTATGTATTCAAAAGGATATTTCATAAAGATGTGGGTGGACACACACTCACTTCATCAGGCTCCAGTTTCCTGGTGGGGACACACAACACCCCCCGTTTCCAAGGCCCATGTCTGTCCACCCTGGTAATAATGGTTAACAGCTGGGCATACTATCCCATAGCGGCTAGGTTATATAAAGACTTCACGTTCAGACACGCTCTTACGATCTCTGTGGAGTCATATGATCTTTTGACTCAAAACCAAGGCCTAAGAATTGAGCTTATGTGGCAAACATGTCAATTCCTCAGCAACACAATTGATGACTCGTTAGGCATTGCCCCATATGGAAACATAGTCCTACAACCTTTCCGGATAAACTTTAACAGTGTCTTTGAGATACATTCCTTCCGAGTTAACCCTCACAATTTTTAAATGTAGAATCTGCCCATTTGCCAATACAATAAGTCAGGAAGACACTGGGTGTTTCTCAATCGCGAGGATGCTGGCTTGGTAGTCGCGTACTTCCAAGTCACTTCCTTCAGAAACGAAGCAAGTATGCTTCCAAGCCACGGCTTCGGAAAACGAAGAAGAATGGAACAGGCTAACAAGTGTGCCACTCTCTCTAACGGTTTCAACATAAACTGTACCGAAAATAAATACCTCACGATGTTTATCTAATTATGAACTTGCTTTACTTTCACGGAACACATTTTTGGTGATAACAAACAAATGTAACAAAGTAACATATTTACCAACACATGTTCTACACCACTATACTTACATTTAAATGTGTGCTGCGTCGGTTCAGCCATTCTCCGCAAGGGTTTTTGAAATTGGTCCGTGCGCAAAGCATTGTGGGGATTTTAAGGACGCAAAGTCTACCCATGTGCAGCCTCGAAATTTCCCCCAAACCAAGGACGCGGCCTCGGTGGAATTCCAAGTCACTCGATGACGTAGCATCCTTGAAATATTGGCTTGGAAGCCAGAATCCTCGAGATTGAGAAACGGCCACTGGGTGTTGTTGTCACTGGTGCAGCCATTCTTAAAATATCATCTGTTATGTTATCATGTACTCGTGCTATGATTGTTATCATCGTAGGATTCACTGATGTGGATCATATTCCTTTGGCACTTGCAGTATGATCACCTGTTGTTTGGCCTTCCTTGTCCAAATAAAACAGCAGAAGATACGTGATATATTTTGAATAGTTATCTCCATAATCCATCTGTTGTTTATGTTGCATTCCCCATGTGTCACAGGGATAAACTGTATCGTATTGGTTTTGAAATCTCATCTCTGTTTGTGATGGTCGCTATTTATCGCCTAAGTTTCTATGACACTTTGCAAAACCCTATCCAGGAGATGCCTTGAAATATAAATCTAATGGATTATCTTTTGTTTGTGTTGATCAGTGTGACGGAGGCATCAATGGAGGAGAGATGGCTATTTTTGCCTCCAGAGCGGGGCCGGGCCCCTGCTGGCACCCAGCGTGCTTTGTTTGCGCCACATGTCAAGAACTGTTGGTGGATCTGATATATTTCCACCAAAATGGCAAGACTCTCTGCGGACGACATCACGCTGAGCTTCTCAAACCACGGTGCTCTTCTTGTGACGAGGTAATACACTGTACTAGCACTACCCACTTAAAGGTGGGGTAGGTAATTTTGGAGAAACCGGCTCGAGTGCGCTAGAATTTGAAAATACACAACCGGAAAAAATCTGCCACTTCCTTACAGAGCTCCTCCTCCAACACACACGAACGTGCACATGACCAATGAGGGCACGAGATAAGTTTGTGCACAGATGGAAGGCTGACAGGCAGGTAGGCCATCCAGTTACTTTAGCCGGGCCGGCTCAGATGATTGGTCGTGCTTTTTACAGCACCACGGCTTCCACTGATGACATTTTTTATGGATTTTTTGTCAAAGCACTTTAGATATTCATTGCTATCGGGATGTTAAGAGCATTCCATGGAATATAACAACAAGTGTATCTCGAGCCGGTTTCTCAAACTTACCTACCCCACCTTTAATGTTTGATAATAGCAATGTCCAAAAAACTAACAGAGTATGTGTCTCCTTTTAGATCATCTTTTCCGATGAGTGCACTGAAGCAGAGGGTCGTCATTGGCACATGAAGCACTTTGCCTGTTTTGAGTGCGAGACAATGCTAGGTGGACAACGCTACATCATGAAAGATGGCCGGCCCTACTGTACTTGCTGCTTTGAGTCTCTGTATGCAGAGTACTGCGAGGCCTGTGGTGAAAACATTGGTGAGTTATATTGTTGAGGTGCTAGCTTTCTTGTTTCTCTTAGGATTCAACTAAAATGTTGTATACCCTAGCTTGAACACAAGATCCTGCTGATGTAGATCTTCGACTACTTGTGTAGATGTTCTAATCCCAATCTTATGATCATTTTATTTTCATCCTACCATGTCCAGGTGTTGACCATGCCCAGATGACCTATGAAGGTGTACACTGGCATGCCGCAGACCAGTGCTTCTGTTGTGCCCAGTGCAAGACGTCCTTGCTAGGCTGTCCCTTCCTTCCAAAGCAGGGTCGCATCTATTGCTCAAAGGCCTGCAGCCAGGGGGAAGATATTCTTGCCTCCGACTCGTCTGATTCTGCCTTCCAGTCTGCACGCTCACGTGAATCACGGCGCAGTGTGCGCATGGGGAAGAGCAGCAAGCCTGCCGAACAGTGGAGACAGTCACAGCTGATCAACCCTCCAGCCTCCGTCCCCGCGTTTGAGGATAAGTTTGGAGATGGAGAGGCTGATTGCGACATTGGTATCGTAGGGCGTAAGCTGGCCCGTCTAGGTCTGGAGGAGGAGAGGTTCTGGAGGGAGCGGGAGGAGCAGGATGCTGGTGGGGACGAGGATCCAGAGGAGTGGGCCCAGCATGAGGACTATATGACTCAGCTCCTTCTCAAGTTTGGAGACCGCGGGATGTTACATCAACTTCAGCAGCCGACCCTAAAATCTCCCAGTCCTAGCAGTGATAGACCCAGAGTAATGAGTGTCTCAGACCCCTGGCTAAAACCTGATACAACATCTTTGGGGGTCACCGCCTCCTCTCCCACCCCTGCCAGTCCAACCCAGAGCCAGACTTCCAATCAATCCCAGACCAACAGCTTCAGCCCCGGACTGATGAGCAAGAAGCATCTGCCTGAAATGTACTGGGCCCAGTCCCAGGACGGGTTGGGGGACTCAGCCTATGGAAGTCATCCAGGCCCTGCCAGTGCCAGAAAGATTCAAGAGTTGGAGTTGGACCAGGATCAGGAACAATCTGGGACAGGAAGACGGGCCTTCTGGCAAGACAACAGGGAGTGGTACGATGACTCCCTTGAGTGTATCGCTGATGAGCTGAGGAAAGTTGAGCAAGGCGCAGGAGACTCCATGGACTCCTTGGCACTTTCAAATATCACTGGTAAGCAGACTGCTTGTTGCATGTGTTCAGAGAAAAGATGTACCTTCTTATTATATCAACAGCTTTTTAAAATGTGTCTCTCCTGCTTGTTCTGTTTAGGTGCATCAGTGGATGGAGATGGAAGGGATAGATCCATGGTCTACAGCCTTGCCATTCAGAATCCATCAATTGTAGATGACTGCGAGAAGATGAGCAACATGGGGACCTTTAATTCATCTCATCTTCACCACAGTGCCAACTCTCTCAACCTTCACATGGAAAAGGGAGATGATGAGGACGTAGCATTGGCAATGAGGGGAGGAGCACCAGGAGGACATCTCGCAATGTCCCCACATTCGGAAGGCCTCCCTTCCTCCTTCATCCATGCACCAGCTCTTCGGAGAAGCAAGTCCCAGTCTCGGCCTCCACAGATGGTCAAGTTTTCAGAAGACACAGTGGACAACGGATATAATGATGGGTTCGATGTCAATATTAGAAGGCATCCAATGAGTGAGAAGCCACAGCGGAGGGCATACTGCTCGGAGGAGATGGGCCAAGAAAGAAGCCGCCCATCCAGCCAGCATGGGCGCAGCAGGCAGCATCACCAACACCACCGGGAGGGCCGGCACCACAAGAGCCGCAAAGCCCGCTCAGACAACAACCTTCACTTGGTGCCTTTGGAGAAAGCACAGAGGCCATATGAGCCTCACCAGCAAGCACAGAGGCCTTTTGAGCCCCAGCAGCAGGGTCTAGTGAACCCCCCTTGTGGAGGCATGGTCCCACAGCATCCTGCACACAGGCTGCCTTTGGCCTACTCCCAAACCCGGTCTGACTATATGCTTCAGGGTTCAGCTCAAGGAGACCCACGACTAGAGCAATTTATGAATCTATACAGAGATGAGGATGACTGTTGTTCTACTTGCTCTTCCTCATCATCGGACTCTGAGGAAGAGGGCTATTTCCTGGGCCAGCCAATCCCTCAGCCACGAGCGGCAGGGCGGTACTACGCTGAGGACTACCCTACAAGGGTTACAGCCCTCACTTCCCTGAGTCATGGCTCACAGACTGGTCGCAGGAAGAGCCACCGCTCCAAAAACTGTATCATCTCCTAACAGCTCATTATAACCTGCACTATGCTCAGCAATAAAGTCAGATGTTCTGATCATATGATGGTTTTGCGGATCAAACCTATTTGTAGATATGGCCTATTACAGAAGGTGCTTGGCCATATGTCAAGATGCATATCATATTTAGGCCCAATTGTACTGAAAGAAGAAATTAATTCAAACAACTTAGACGGATCTTTGTAACATATATTCAGAATAGAAACATGTGTTGGTGTATGTTCAAATTGGTCTTCATTTAGCATTGACATAAAGGATAGACTGGTACATTTAGAAGCCTTTTTTGATCAGTATTAGGCAGAGTGGCAACATAAAACCTTTTGTTCTTTTCATCATTTGCCATTAAGTTGTTTTTATTTTATTTTGTACTATTCTTGTGTTATGTTATACATTTTGCAGCAATATCTTTGTGAGCATTAAAATGGAAACGCATTGTACAAAGAGTTTGATAACTTAGAAAATAGAATCAAACCAAATAATTATTTAATGCATTATAGTACAAAATGATAATGTATATACTAAGTTAAGATTTTAATACTGGTATTTTTATATCTGTGGTTTAAAGAATTGTTTTCTTGGAAGTGTATGCTTTAGAAAAGCGCAGGTGTAAAGGCAAACGAACAGACCTCGTTATAATATTTGATGCGAAACAAAGAAGGTGCCACTTAATAAATTGTTCTTCACAGTAAAGTGCCATGTTACTCTGATGTCTATTACGTATATTCCACAATGCTTACTCTTGCCGTACCAAATATGAAACAAATGGCAGTAACACTTGTATTTTCCATATTCAGCTGAACTGTTCACTCCCCTTGCTCTGACATAACCAGATAAATGCTTTGTGATGTAAAAACGCTTGTAATAAATATTTTTCTCCTCTCAAAGATTCAAGGATGACTTTTCTTTTCCTCGTGGATTTTAAAATTACAGGATGTATCCTTTTGAAATGTAGTGTTTGATAATGCCAGTGAACCAATCCTCAAAAAATACAAGTGTCACTTGTGTAAAAGATCACAATACCTCAAAGTTAAAAGGAATCATGTTTACTGCAATCTTTAGAGAAACCTCAGTTTGTGCAAACGCTGGTCTCAACGTCACCAAGAATAATGAAGCCTTGTGCGGGTTCTTCTGGAAGTGAGAATATAAAAAGGCTAAATGAGACAACATAATGAAAAAGCAACCAAACTGGCATTTCTCTAGACCAGTGGATCCCAACCTGGGGGGCGCCAAAGATCGCAGGGGGGGCGCCAGGCCTCAGATGATTTGAGGCAAAATATCATATTTAGACTTTTTTTTTTACATATAATTGTAAAGGCAATAAAATATAAAAAATGATTAATTAATTTTAAATTAAAGGCATAAAAAGACAGTATGTATAATTCTTTCTTTAATAGAAATGTTCCTTCTGCCCATAAAGTGTCCAAACCAGGCTTGTCTGGATAAGCGCATTTTTAAAACAGTCATTGTCCATGCCGGTTTCAGTTGGATTATTTGTCACAGTTGCTCCGATCAGATCGGTCTCCTCCATTTTCTAGATTATTTACGACTTTTGAATCCACATAAACACATCGGCAAAATCCGGCTTACTTCGAGCATGTGTTTTAAACAGTTTAATCCCTTTGTGAATTGTTTCCACTTCTGCGCCGTCCTTTAATTTCTTCATACAACGGGAATCCAAATGAATGAATCCTGAGTCCAATAACCATCAAAGTCACTCCAATAGTGCTCCTTAATCACGCTTTCATCCTCCTTTAACAAAATACTTCACATTCATCCAGTTTGTGACCGTAGTTGTAGCACTTTGAGAATTTTAAACTTTAATTACAGCTGTTGCGCCCCCCCCTCCGTGTGTGTGTGGGGGGGGGGGGGGAGCGCAACTTCCAACAGGAGTCATTTGGGGAGGCTCTTGGGAAAAAAGGTTGGGAACTCTTGCTCTAGACAGTACAATGATGTAGAGCTGTAACTTAAGCAGCACCAAGTCATACATCTCACCGCTACAACAAGTCTTTGTATTCCCAACAACATATTTAAAAAAAACAAAAACATTACAACGATGATGTAACTTTTAAATAAAGAAAGTGATTTATTTCACCCAACATTTGACAGAAAACACGTTTTTAATCATAAAACAACATCTTTCAACAGAGACCGAAAGTAAAAAAATGGTTTGTTCAAAATTAACACTGTTCATCCACACATGCATGCTGTCCCATGTTCAAGTTGTTGTGGGAATTCAATTCAAGTCCAGCAATTCCAAAAATATAACCGAGTAACCATTCTCTCTCATGGAGCCAATGTGTCAGTAAGATGAGCTGTGATTGGCTGCTGTCTTTATGAGTTTATGACCCGTTGATGGGGTGGTGGAGTCGCACACGGAGGCTTCTGGCTGCCGGACCACCTCGTCCAGCTCGTTGATGAAGTGCCTGAGATCCTCCAGGCATCGCTCGCGGATCTCCCCGAGGTTCTCCCTCAGGGGAACCTGCAGCTGCTTCTCGAGGTTGGCGTCTTTAGCCACCAGCATCTTCACCACCATGCCGAATGTCACGCAGTCCTGCCGGTACACCTGGAAGTGCACAGAAGCAAGTTAGAGTTAAATGTTCCATATCATCCCTTTCCTGTAGTGTGTTATTTTGGTTGTAGGTGCATGTAAGTGCTCTGCAAAGGCTAGAATAAAAAAGTTCTGCTGCAGCACAGGCAGTATGAGAACAATTAAGGCTTTTTTGAACATGAAAGCACGGAGACATGTCACGGTAGAGGCAGAGGATACACAACCTGGAAATGAGCATACACTGGCTTCCTGTCTCCCATCGCATCAACTACAAAATTCTGGTCCTCACCTACAAAGCACTCCACCATCTGGCCCCCCCTTATCTCACAAACCTTCTCACTCCTTATCAACCCCCACGGTCCCTCAGATCCACCGCAGCCGGACTCCTATCCATTCCCACATCCACACTCTGCAGCTTTGGGGACAGAGCCTTCTCAGTGGCAGCTCCTAGGCTCTGGAATTCCCTCCCCCAAGATCTCCGTGACTCTGAGTCCTTCACAGTCTTTCAGTCCCGCCTCAAAACACATCTTTTCAACTCTGTCTACCCATAAGCGCCCCCCCACCCCTCTCAATCAACTTCCTCTTGACTGCCTTTTTACTTACTTGTTTGCCTGTCCTTGTTTGTCTACCCTCCCTCATACTGTAAAGCGTCTTTGACTTGTGAAAAGCGCTATATAAATAAAATGCATTATTATTATTATTATGTCCTCTTAAAAAAAAAAAAAGCTTTGGGCAAAACAAATTCATATTGAATCTTTCCTCTAAGGAAAACACATCTACATCCATTCTCATGTATAGTTTAGGTATTAAAAGTGGGGCTGGGCAATATATATATCGATATTTTATAAGCTAGGAGAATAGACATTGTCATTTGATTTTGTATCTTGTGATATAAGTGTTGTTTTTCCCTCGTTTAAAAACAAAAAGTTATGACATTTTCAGAATTTACCTCGCTGTTTTAGCCGTTCTATTATTGCTTGACCCACTTAATCATTAACTACTACCAATCATTATCAAAATGTTCATGTTGCAAATATTTTGTGAAAGCATTAATATTAAACTAAAACAATAGTCACAGTTTTGATATTGAGGTATTTGGTCAAAAACAAATGCTATCTTTCAAAGAGAGAAATCTGGGCTATCCCCATTACTATTGTGTTACCCTAATGGTCCTGGGGAGGCCAAGGTATCAAGGTATAAAACATATATTGTTATATGATTTCTTTAAATCGCCCAGCCCTACTGAGGAGTGTAAAGAGGTCAAAGCCTATAAAAGAAAACTTTTCACCCCCTCAGTTAGGTTTCTTGTTTCCTTCCTGCCTAACCTGGCGCCTAGGTGTAAATATCCCAGTGTCATTGAGGCCGAGCGGATCATTCTGGTGTCAACACACATCACGCAGTGTCAAAAGATAAACACTTTTCCTCTCAAGTTTAATAAGGGCCCTTTTTATATAGGACAGGGTGGCCCAAGAAGCAATAAAAGCTCCACTTTAGAGGCTCATAACAGGTGTGAGAGGGACAATGAGGAAGAGGTGCTGGAATCTTGTTTGGGAGCTGCCATTTCACACCCAGCCTCAAATGTCTCATAAAAACAATGCAGGGGGTGGGGGCTTTTACATGAAGAGGACTGAGTAGCAAAACACCAGAGGATCGTTTCTGATTCCTGATCATTCACATGAGCTGACAACGTGAAGAAGAGGGAAAATATCCCGGTGTCATAATAGTAGTTCAGTCGTGTTTCTTAATATGTTTATTACGGCCCGTCCACACTACAGCTTCGACAGCTTCAAAAACGGTTTCCAACGCGTCTGCCCATTCACTTTGAATGGGGTGATGTCACTTTTCGCCGAACTGCATTGTGGGAAGCAGAGCGGAGCTTTCCCGGCGTTTCAGGCTGCAAAAGTTGAGCAATGTTCAACTTTTGAAGCTTCTGAAGCTTTCGGTGGAAGCGTCAGCCAATCAAATCATATGCCAGTACAAGCTCTAGCCAATCAAACCGCTGCTTGTGTGTCGGGGGCGGGAGATTCATGTGATTGGTTGTTGGTCGAGCTTCAGACACGCCCAGCTCCAAGCTTTTTTTGAAGCTGTAGTGTGGACGGGCCGTCAGAAGCAGCATATAGCTTGAGTTTGGCGTCTAGGCTCGGGCCTCATCACTCCACAGATTTACAAAGAACATTGAGTGATGATTAGAGAACTATCCCCCGAGCCGACAGGTGGAAGCTGGGGTGGTGGGGGGGCAGGCGAGCAGCAGCAACGTGAAACACAGCAGCAGGAACATGAACGCAGCAATAGCAAGTGAACACAGCATCAGCAGCATAACGAGGCGGAGGCAGGAAGACCTGGCAGCTTCAATAGAGCGGCATGTTTAGGAGAATGTGTTGGGTTGGTTGTAAGAGGGACGACGAGGTGCTTCGCCCCATTACTTTGTCTGTATAGAAAATATTTTGTTTTCCACAGAAAAAGTACCAGATTGGCTGTGGATGGTTGCCACACATATCTAGGCAGGGTCCTTTGCTGCATCGCTCTGCCTTGTTTCCTGTTGTCCCTCCTCTAGTGTAATCTAATAATAGCTTAAAGTGCTCCAAAAATAAACGAGAATTACTGCCTTGCAGCAAAACGCCCATCAAACCGGTCACGTTGCAGTTTAGACATTTGTGTGACTGTGCAAGTGTCTTAATTAGCAGCACATGAGGCCAAACATGAGTTTTGTGAGGTCACAGTGAACTTGATCTTTGACTACCAATTCAGTTCATGATGAGTCCAAGTTGATGTTTGTTCCAGAAGTCATTTAATTCTCTCTAGGGATGGACGGATTACCGTTTCTGTCTAGAGGCGTTATAGAAATACACATCAGGACGTTTTGTAATCCGCCAGTGTGATGCTCTACTTCTCAACAAAAATGCAACAGATTTTAGACACAGCTCAATTTCTCTGGACTGCTGCTCACTCCTCTTTTAGTTTGTCTCCATCTGTCCCTCTACTATTTTCTCTCTAGAAAGTTGCTCTCCATCTTCCCTGACTGAGCGGGAACGTATTACCGCGCTGATACGGCTACTTATCAAGTCGTGCCGCGGGCGGACACAAGAGCACCTCCAATGACGAGGCCTGTGTGTTTATACATGTGCCTGAGAGTGTACAATTAGGCCAGGCCAGGCTGGGTTTCAGTCATTCACCGGATACCAACGCTGGCTTCGATGCTGCGGGGCGTTCAGGCTCGCTGGCTTATTTATAGCTTTTCACTACGTTCCTAGAGCAGAGGGCATGGCCGGAGTGGAGGAGAGATCACAAATAAAGATCTGTTGTCAAACACAGTTTATGTACAGGAGGCAACTTTCCAAAAACCTGCACTGCATGAAAGAAAATGTCCAGCTTAAACGTAAACAAGGGATACTTAACTTTGTTGTTAGGGGGGCCACATTAGAAATAATAGGAGTCCAGGGGCCACTAAGGATTACCGTGGCTTAGCCCAAACATCTGTCTTTGGGAGATAGCGCTGGGCGATATGAATACAATCATATACCACAATGTTTTTCACCAAATACCTCAATGTTAATGAGGTTTTATGACCATATTGTAAGGTAGACCATTAGTGCTTTAACAACACATTTACAGAGAATGTATTCAATAATATGTAATGTGGATTTAATATATAAGCACGCAGAGGCCAATTACAGATCAGCTAGACGGCCTGATACATTCACAAAATGATATCACTTAACTGTTATGCAGCCAAGAAAGCAAAACACTCCTAAATCTAAAACAATATCTTGTACCACAATATTGATACATTTCCCAGACCTAGTGGGATCCTATTCAACAAGCTCCATTAGTGTATGTATGCGTTGTTATGCACTTTGGTACCTTATTAACAATAAAAGTGAAAAGAAAAACTTCCATTGTGGATAAATGTATATTGATTCTGATCATAGAAAGATGGTATCACTGACGGACCAATCAGAACGGGTTCCTCCTAATATTATCTACTTTGCGATTTCACTGAAGACGCTTTCTGGTAAGAGAATTAGATCAGCGCCAACGCATGAGATGAGAGCTTCTTACTGTATTTCCTCCCTCTTGACCCACAGCAAACTCTCAGTGTTGTGTGAACAGTTACAGATCCGGATTGTAACATGAGGACACACGTAGAACATGAGGATACAAACACTTTCAGGAAAGAGTGCTTCAGTAAAATAAACTAATTCTGGGTGTTCCTACACCCCATGTACATTCCTCATGTACAATACATGATGAAGTGGAAGACGTTGCAAAGATCAGACGACCTAAACTGTATGAAACTCAATCCTGTGATAGCCCTACCCTAAATTTAGCAACAACAAATGGTGCGATTCATTTCTTATCACAACCTCAACAGCTGATAACAGATAGTCAATGTTTTTATCAACGTTTATCGTAGGAAGTATCCAATCAAGGGTGCCGACAACTGCTTCTTTGAATACAGGGAAAGTTGTTCCGAGATAACAATGTGCTGAAAATGAACTTCCTGAAGCCCCTCCTTTGTCAGGAAGGAAAAAGGCCAGTGCTTGACTTTGGGTGGGGTCGGTAGAGAACCATCTCTGCCTCTAGAAGCTTCTTAAATGTTCTTTAGCCAGTTAAAGTAAGGGTTAGGAATGACTGTGTGAGCCTGACTGGGGCCTACAGTTCTTCAATCTTTAAAAAATAATAATAAAAGGCTGGAACCGGCTGGTTTTCCATCTTGTAGCGGAATATATTTAGAAACCTCAACAAATGAAATAAAACACCCTTTGTATCACAGCCTGGACTGTGAGGAGTAAAACATAATACCCTTTATTGCCTCCGATGCCTTGTCACTCACTGTAACCAGTTAGTCTGAACTGCAGCCAAAGTCAACTCTGACAATGAGAAGGGGCTTCAGGTTGAATTTCAGCAGACCTATTTCACTTAGCTACACAAACACGCGGCGGTACGACGCGGCGCAGCACGATGTCGGGCCGATGATGGAAACTCCAGTATGGAAAAGTGTAGCGAGTGAGGAGCTACTGGACCGGAGTGTGTTTGTGTCCGTGTGTACAGAAGAGATGGCTAGACCAGATTGGGGGCAGAAAGCCAAACATCTGGACGACACTTGTCAAGACTCTGAACACATCGAGTGCCGATTGTGACACAAACGGCGATTGTTGTTTCAGACCGAAAAAGGAAAGTGTGTCCTGGGCATGGTGGGAAATGAACACCAGCCTCCAGACTTGGGCTACGACATTTTCCAGTTTGTTTTGTCTGCCATTTTGCCAGGTAACTAACCATTATGCGAGGCGATTCTCACAGGTTTTAATCAGTGTTTATATAAAAGGGTTTAAAAAAGGGTAAAAAGTCTCTACATCAAAAATCTGAAATACTTTCGGGGTCGTCCATTCATATTTATTTAAAAAAAAGAACGTATCAACATATTGACCAGGAAATAATTGAGATGTATGGTATTTTGTTGTATCTGCTCTTTTAAATACACAGATTTTATGTACATTTAATTATGTCTTTTTTGTTTTATATGGAAGAGCTACATGGGACAATTTGTATTGAAACTTTTTTATGATGAATTATTATTACCACCAATCCAATGAATAAAATTAACTCTCCGGCTCCGTTAACAAAAATTAGCAATGTCTATCTATATAATGTAAATCTCGTATAGTGGTAGGGGAACCCTGCTGTTTACCCGGGCGACATATTGGCTCAAATGATTGGTGACAGTCTTATGCAACAACAAATCAAATGTAAACACAACGGGGGATATCGAGGTCAGCGGAAAAGATCATGGTTCTGTGCACACGTGATACGCTAAGTCGATAACGTAATTATCCTGCCAGGTCTAGTAGTGTGTGAGAGAAACACAGCTGACTGAGGCGAGGTCCCAGACGACGTACATGAAAGTGTTCTGGAAATCACAAAGACCAAAGCGGAGGAAAATAACTGCTGATAATCATCTGGATCTGCTGACACTTCCAAAGAAACTTCATATCCCTGAGAAAATGGATTACACAGTTTGCACAATCATCTCATGACTACATTTGAAGATGAAAGCAAAAGGAGCATACTGAAAATGGAAACACGATAATAACCTAAAGGGTCAGTGTATTTTTTAGTCATTGGATTTTCTTTCAGTGGATATTAAAACTTAGTTTTAAAATGGAAAAATGGTCATGACAAAAAGGGATTTACTAAATAAAAAAACGGGATGATTTTCATTTTCTACTTCTCAAAAATAAAAATAAAACCACTAGTAAACAGAAACAAAAACAAAACCCTGTTTTATCATATTCTGCTACCGGAAGTTGTCTTAGAAAATAAGAGCGCAGATGAGGACAGTCCTGTCAACCCAGTCTCACAAAAAAACTTGTAATAGCTACGTTGGTCCTAAAGACTATTCTCGACATGTGTCTTGCTAATCGTTTTGCCTAATCTGTACCATATGACAATCGAAACAAATTAAACTACCACAGCATAGCTCGAGTGACGCGAGGAGACGCAGGTGTGGAGAAAGAGACTATAAAACAGGCCAGAAGCTGCAGCGTAGGCAACCCTATAGGCTCTGTGGGGGCGCAGTGTGTGCTCCAGGGCAGAGCTGGCTGGGGTTTAATGGTCCCAGTAAAGCAGCGGTGGTGCTCACTGCCTTCATTAGATAACTGAGCAGAGCTGAAACCTCGGGCCCCGGGGCGGTTTGAGCTCCGTTGAGCCCTCGATTTATTGTACGCACAAATCTATACCATGCCTGAGCTTTACTTGTGTTTCTGTTTTCGTTTATGTGTTCCTGTAACGTACATTAGCCTAGCGTTTCTAAATCCGTGTGTGTAAACAATAGAGGGTTGTACTGTTGAGCTATGCAGGATATTAAACCGGTGTAAGGGTTTAATGAGCAGTTGTTGCACAAAGAGGAAAACCGAGATGCATTTAACAACCAAATTCGCCAGAGAGTGAACCATCATTCTGCTGTGAGACAGATAGCTGGTAGCGGTGAACATTGGTGTACCCATCACTGTGAGTGGAGGATTATTAGGCGGTCTTATTAGGACCATAACAACAGATGGATGTTCCAGAAAAGCATATCCAGAGAAATAATCCAGAAGAGAGACTAGATCACCGTAAGGGATTGTGCAGAGGGTACAGTATGTCTCACGCGTGAACCAAGATTGTAAAGCGCTTTGAGAGATCAAAAATAGCTATATTGAAACACACATCATTTACCAATACCACATATATTTAGTTTCTAAACAAATGATTCATAAATACCAGTTCATTCCGTATCCAACCAAACTAGTGTATTTTCTTTTATGAGCTCATGGTGAGTTTACAGAGAACAGTGTTTCTACTCTTTTCTAGTTCATTTCCCAGGAGATATTTAGTGGTGATGAAGTTGGTATTGCAGGCAGAGATTGAGCCATACTCTAATAACTCTCTGTGGAAGTTTGGGCACAGATTATCTTTGAAATAATCTTTTATAAACTTGGAATTCATGCCAAATGACATGAAAAGCATTTCACTTAAAGGTCACCTATCATGCTATTTTTAAGCAATAGCATAAGTCTCAGATAAATACAAATATATAAAAAACATGTCTATGAAGTGTTTTGCTCAAACAGATCACCCATTCTAGCCATGCCTCATATCCCTCTATTTCACTTCCTGTTTCAAAAGTGCTGATTTGGGTATAAAGCTTTTTTTTTTTTAAAAAGATTTTAAAAAAAGGAGGGGTCTGAGCTCATGCGGGACCCGGCAGCTACTGTCTAAACTAAATGCTGCCGTGATGAAACGCCATATCATGGATTATCAAGGATTGTTTCTGAAACAGTATGAAGCTCAAAGGCTTTCTCTCTTGCCGGTTATACCACAAGGTGAGTTCCTTTTTACTTCCTGCTTCTTCACACACATGCTCTCCAGTACAGGTTAGCTCTGAGTGTTAGCGATGCTAATGTAAACACCGACCATATTACGTTCAAAACAGTCGGGCATTGTTTCTGATAGCAACGTTTCTGATTGGGCCGTGGGTCCACATTTCAGATATCACGTCATATCGGACGCAAATCTGGATCAGCTCCGTTGTAGCCCCGTTTTTAGAGATTTGGGTACGGAGGAAAAGAGGGTTTTATTTTCTGACGCTGCACATATTTATTTATAAAAGACATCAAAAAGTGCATAGGTCCCCTTTAAATGTGAGGCTACCGCTAGAAAACATTACATGTCATGTTATGGTCCTGTTGACAAAGCCCTGCTACAACAGGCCTAAAGTTAAGATGTAAATTGGGCAGTACCTTCTCTATATCCTGAGCTTTAGCTGAGATGGCCCTCGCTCGCCGCTCCTGGAAGTTGTCCGGTGACAGCTTTTGGCATTCCTCCACGACGGGAGTCACCAGCGGCTCCTCTTTGTCTCCTTCTGGGGCGTGGTTATCCTCCTGGAAAGGTAGAAGGACAACCGGGTGATTCACTGTCTAAGGAAGACTCAGAGAGGTGAGCACAATTATTATGATTAAGCAACTGCCACAGCATGGGGAAAGTCAGGAAAGTAATGCCATATAACTACAGAAGTGACAATAAAAAAATAAAACTAAACATATAATAGGAAAACAATGACAGGACTTAGGTCAGCAACTTCTAGCAACTTCTATCCATTCACATAGAGCCAGCGCAACCTGACCTACTGACTGTTTAACGTCCCGGCAAAGATGTGTGTGATGAGGCGTACCAATAGATGAAGCTCAGAATTACAGGAGTAAAGCCCGAGTTGCTGAAAAGCCCGAGTATACGCTGAGAAAGTTGGGTGCTGTGGATTTCTACTACTGTACTCGACAAATTGGGAATCCATTGAAATTACATCGATTTATATGCTTTCAAATCTGCACACGGATCTTATTACTTATAAACTACGACTAAAACCTGGCTTAACATTGCACTCATTTTGCAAAGTAAATTGTAGAATGTGATGTTTTTATTTCTTAATAATGGGAAATGGGGCCAGGCAAGGCCAAGATGAGACTGTCTAATGGATAGCCTGGAAACTCTATCACCCATAAGTATTACTGTGAGAGTCAAAAGAAAGCGCAAAGGGGAGAAATGAGGCCAATTTGGATCAACGCTCAATTTCTTTTGCTCATTTCCTGATTCTATTAGAGTTTGAAGGCCAGGGAGCAGAGCTGCCCAGCCATGACTAAGGTCCGGTCATACATTAAAGGGAAACGGGCCGCGGACTAAGTCATTAAATCTCCAGATGAACGAGGGGAGAAAAATCGCAGGGGATGGTACATCGCAATGTCTGAGTGTGGTCGGAGATGAAAAAAGCAAGACTGATGAAAGCACCATCCAATTATTCCTCCGTCTGATTCTCTCCCTGAAGCTATGCTTGGGAGGACTACGCCTGTACGTTTGTCAGAGTTCCTTAGACTCTGAGAATATATCTGTCTGAGTCTTTCACTTCAACGGGCTGGGCACAGCGTCATCAATATGAAGCTATACAAAAGGCACACAAATCCAATCCAATCAGGATGGATTAACTCTTCCTACCTGCACAGGAACCACCGGCGGAAAATAGCAATTTGCTAAAAACCATTACATCTTTCATTGTTCTATCTATTCGTTGTGCATTGTCCCTGTTCAAATGAAGAAACACAACGTATACATGGATGTTTAAAGAGGTTTTTGGACCTAAAGTTCTTGCAAATTGATCTGGTCATTCTGGAACTGACCAACATTTTACTGCTTTAACAAATTATTTCATACTCTTCCACCGTGGTAGAAGAACAGCAGCAATCCGAGTGGGATCTAACCAACACATGTTTATGAGCTCGTTGATCTAACTTGCCCTGATCCTCTGTCTTTACCTTCAAGGAAACCATGATGGAAATCCAAAAAGGAAGCTAAATTAAAAAAGGCATTCAGCCAATTCGTTTTTGGTACATTTAACTCGTGAATTGAAACCTCATGGTGACGCTACAGGAAAAGTCAGGGGAACATCAACCGCTCAATTTTCAATAACATCCATGTCCGTCGGAAATATCATCCGTTTTTTATTTTTTATTATCTCATCCTAAAAGACATACTTGTCATTGTTAGCACGAAGTATGGCCGAAATATTTAGTTTTGTAACATCACAGTAGTCTTGACCTGTGACCACAAAATTCTAAATGTCAAGAGTCGGATTGGACTTTTGTGTCAAACAAATTCCTTCCATAGAAAACATAAAGCCCCAGCTATGGCTTTCCCCAGCATGGAGGCATGGAAAACAGTAGACTCACCGACGCTGTACCCCTAAATATATCACAATAACTAAACTTCTGAAAGGACAACTGGTTTATAACCCCTGTGATCCTCGGGCTGCTTGTGTTCCCTGTTAGCATCCCATGATCTCAGTAATCATCTCGGTGGGTAAATGTCATACTGTAATGAAAGAGTCTGCCTTGTACAGCGATGCATCACTTTGGTGACCTTTTCAGTTACAGGGCATGCGCTCCACCCGCTACGCCACCATGGCTCGAAGCTGCTCTTTAGACCCCCCCCCCCCCCCCCCCTCTTCTGTCTGGGATGGCTCCAGAGAGCCTGCGAGTGTGTTTGTTGAATCCCCACAGCAGGCAGCGGCCGGGGCCATAAGTGCAAGCTTGAGAGGGGGGCACAGTGCAGGCCTTTCATCTCGGCCAAGGTTACGGGTTTGTGCCCCCAGAACACAAAAAACAATGCACCACAGGCTAGATCAAACACAGCAGCAGTGTGTGTGTGTGTGGAGGGGTGGGGCACTTTGTAAAACTTTCATCACAGCTGGATGGTGGTGGGTGGCACTAACTAAAGTGCACATAAGGAGGAGGGGACTATGTTTTTACGCATCTTGTAATTTCGAGAGTATAAAGCAAGTGCATGGATTTGCAGCTGTCGCCCACTTGAGAAGACGACTCAGGAAAAAATTATTAAAACATTCTAATTACCTCCAGCGTGCTCTGAGAAAGATCAGAGGGCTGCTAATGGGATAAATAACGAGCCTGCTTTGACATTAAAGCGGCATTTAAGGATCGTTTTATGGGCTTTCTGATCAAAGAGCACATCAGGAGAAAGAAGGAGCAGTACAGTTTACAAACGAGGGTTTAAATGCTTCAGAATGGACGGCAAACTGCGTAACTCAGTATTATTCGACCAATCTAAATCATCTGAAATAAATGTGACACTGTAGTTTTTCTACTCGACAGTCACAGCTGCAAAACACAGCATGTTGCTCTTCAACAGAAAAAGGAAGCGATTGTTCATTGTAAACGGTCCATCGAGTTCCACAGGGACTTCTCCTGGCTTTGCGGCTTAGATCATATGATAACGCTGCGACTCGAGCTACCGAGTTAGCCTCTTCCCTTCTGGGTGGCCGGGGCCAGACGCATCGCTCCTAATCACATCTGATTCTATTTACACTCCTCTGCGTAGTTGGAGATGGATGATAGCAGCCAAACAGGCAGGAGATATCTACATTAAAGACTCACTTTTTTTAAAAACACTTTAAAAAGGAAGCACGGCTCGTACTTTCGTAGATACCCCTCTTTCCCCCTGCAGCACTACAACTCCTGTGATTGAAGTCTGCTTACAGCACAGGTAAACAAAGCACAGGCCCGATGGCTTTTACGCGCTGTGCGACGGCCACTTTAAAACCCATTAACATACTTCAATGCAACTAAACACTTATTAGAAGGATGGCATTTAAGACGTTCCAGATGCATCCTGCTGTAGTGACAAAAGGCGGGATGTATAATAAACAAAAAGGGGCTTTTTTTGGACCGAATTGCTATTAGTAACAGAAGACACGTTTGAAAAGAAGCATAAAAGGCTTGTTTTGTTTTTTTGTGAAGCAGTAGTTCGTTACCTTGACTGATATTGCGCTGACTGGGGAGCCTTCTCTCGACAGGCCAGGGATTTTGTCTGGAGAGAGAAAGAGACAAAACAAAGTGTGACACATATGTGATAAAGAAGATTTAGAATGGAGAAAATGACAGGAAGCAGTGGAAGAAGACAATTAGTAGGTTTGGGAAGTATTCAGTGTAAGTAAGGGCTGATGTTTGCTTCCAGGATCCACACAGGTACCTAGGCTAGAACAATCAGGAAACACATGGTTCACAAATCACGCTCCGAAGTGAAAAGATTCAACGTGACTTTTACAAATTCCCTCTCATCTATCAGACACCTCGTATCGCTTTCCTTTCCTCCTTTTCTTTTCTCAAGCGAGTATTCTAACCAAGGCTTTGTGCAATCCAGTCTGGAAGCTTCAGGGGTATCCATCAGACATCCTATCCCCTCTCCCTCTCGCTCCACACACGACCTGGTGGCATCTTTACGAGGCCTGACAAAGTGGCAGGCGGAGCGGGGAGTGATCCGGCTTCTGGACACATTACAAACACTCCTTCTCTCTCGGGTTACCCACACCGGGAATAGGTTGAGTTTAACGATTGTAACCTTTGTATGTTTCGGAAACAAACCCACTGCATGGAATTTCATCTCGCTTTCATTCATTTGTAAGGCAACAATAATAAAAAAAAGAATCACTTGAAAGACAGGCAGGGGCTATATTACATACAGTATGATGGCGGAGGTACATTGGATTGTTTATGTTGAGGCATCCATGGAAATAACATTATTTTTAATGCACTTGTACATTTTGTGAGTTTAAGCTCTTATGCTTAACATAGACTTCAGATGAGTTGAATAAACAGTTTTTTAACTACTCTGTCTATTTGGGTGTCTCGGTTTCAACAGGGGACGTTTCATTGTGATATCTATGAGTTAAAACTATTGACGTTATTCTCCTTGTGTGCTGAAAATGTATGGAATGTAACGATACACATTTTCAAAATTCTTTTTCTGAACCTAGTAAAAACATCTCCCCTTCAGTGGCCCTTACACACACCAAACTGAATGAGTATATTGTTCATACATCATGTTTAGCCTGATTAATAAAACATTTTATTCCCTAACACATGGCAAAAGTATATGGCGAATGAAAGTAGTTCAAGGTTTATGGAGTAATATTTAAAAAATCCAAAATACTGTGTGTAAAAAGCTTTTGACTCTAAAATGTCAACAACAAAATACAACCAGCATTAAACAAGGTTTAGAGTTATGGAAGTGAATGCAAACATATTTAATAGGATTATACCTCATTGGAATATTTAAACAGGACAAACACAAAATGATGACCTTAAAGCAAGTAATCTACTTACGGGGGTGTTTCCTTTCAAATATAGATTTCTGAGGAAACAAACCAACTGCTTTTCTATTGGTCTACACGATAACTATACTGAACTGTACTTACCGGAGATCTTGCTGTGAGAATAAGTCTCTTCACATCCTGTAGGAAGACCAAATCGTAAGGTCACTGACCGTGTACACAATACCTACACTCTCCCTTATCCAATAGCCATCCATCAAGCACACTCTCTGCCCCGATGCTTCACTAAAATATGTTCAACGGTGCTTTGCTCAGGTTCTCAGAGGTTACCACCATGCATCATATACATTGAGGCAACCGAGGCTTACTTTGCCACGTAAGCATGACGACCGCTTGCCAGTCTAAAAGGGTCCATTACAAATGTCAAAAAAGGAGATGGCAGCAATGAAGATGGTAGGAGAGCTGAAGGAAAGGGTTTGCTCGGAGGGTTTAGGTATACAAAGCATACAAATAAACAAATGCGTAAGCTAGCAAGTTCAGTTCATCTTAGATTTGTTGCCGACATGCTGCGAAATTAGTCATGTAAAACTTGAAAGGCTGCACATGTCCAGTGTCAGGAACAGAAAATACAAATCTAAGATTCAATCAGGCAGAGTGGTGCAGGAATGAGTCCTACGACCCGAAAATGAGTCAGCATTTCTCAACTTTTCTTATTTGAAGTCACTTTTTTTTAAATGCGTTTTTGCCATAGACTGTATATATAAAGGTTTTTGCTTAGATGTCTGAAATACGGTCTGTGGTTAACACTCTATTGAGGGTTTCACAGGTTGAGGGGCCCTTTGCTTTTAGCTCATCACTGCACCACTTTACTAAGACTATCCAAGTATGCAGTTTGCCAAATGCCAGCATATGAAGAGGGACATAGAGCTTTAATATTAACTGTAATATGTACAGTTCCTGCACAAAGCCTTATTATTAAAATGCGTCAATGCCAGAGCAGATGCACACTGTCTGATAACCAAAGGGGGAATAATGTAGGATTACATAAAGCATATCTTATGATTTAGTCTGGACAATTACTTTAAAATGTCTACATGCATCTGCAAGGTTAGCATATGTTATGTCATATTTACAGATCAGTGTAGGAAGCAAGGAAGATGCTACCGCAGAGGAACCCATTACAGTCACCACTAGCTACTAGTGAACAAACAGAATTCTGTGCGACGAACTTCAGACCTGGGTGAAATAACTTCCGGGTCATTTCGGAGTTTATTATAGCTAGAAAACTTAAGGGCAATTATTTAACCGAGGTTCATTTGTTTGATTATCTTCTATAGGTTTAAAGCTTTTGCAGGCCCTTAAGTCTGTCCTCCATCCTTGTATCCTTCTCCAAACTTAGTGTCAGTAATAGGAGGCCACAACATTTCCTTCTGACAGGACAAGGATGCAAGGAGACGAGAGGAAGAGAAGATTTGCTTATTGTCACCCAAGTCTGAGCTTGTTTCAAATGGCTTTATGTACAGACCCAAAGTTTCATGTCCAATCTGTTGAGGATAGAGCGCCCCCCAGGGGGGCTCAGCTAGACCTGCAGGACCCTCTGGAACGTCCACACCTGAAAAGCCGGTCACCCACATTACGAGTTAAAGGAGGAAGCAGTCAAATAATAGAGGAACATGAAGACAGTAAATGCATGTTTTGGGAGGGATTGTCCTGAATTTCAAACGTTGATGTTGTGCGTCTTTCTCCTGCCCCCCCCCACTCTTCCCCGATTTATTTATTTTGTATATAATGTATTAATTATTATTATTTATAAAAGGGTATTGTTATTTATTATATAATCATTATTACTATAATATTATTTTACCTTTTTCAATTTTGTAACTTTTTAATGATTATTATATAATTCTTTAAACAAAAGAATTATATAACAATACCACACATTTATAAATGATCCTAATTAATGAATTACTATTATAATATTTTATTTTACCATTAGTATTTCTATTTAAATTTATTTAGTACATTTTTAATGATTATTATTTATACAATATACATTATTTTCTATGACAATCTTTCTTTCTTGTCTTCACTCTCCTCTCCATCTGCATCCAAGTTAAGATACATTTGTGTATGTATTTTCTATATATGAGAGCAAGTACTGTACATGTATGTGTATTTAGATATCGTTACACATGTACGTGTATTTAGATATCGTTACACATGTACGTATATTTAGATATCGTTACACATGTACGTATATTTAGATATCGTTACACATGTACGTATATTTAGATATCGTTACACATGTACGTATATTTAGATATCGTTACACATGTACGTGTATTTAGATATCGTTACACATGTACGTATATTTAGATATCGTTACACATGTACGTATATTTAGATATCGTTACACATGTACGTATATTTAGATATCGTTACACATGTACGTATATTTAGATATCGTTACACATGTACGTGTATTTAGATATCGTTACACATGTATGTGTATTTAGATATCGTTACACAGGTACGTATATTTAGATATCGTTACACATGTACGTGTATTTAGATGTCGTTACACATGTATGTCTTGTGTGATACCCCATAGCCTTTGGGTATGCCTAAGTCACTAAGTCTTGATCAAACACATCACACTAGACGCTTATAACTTAAATGTTATATTTTGCTGCATGTCCCTTTAAAAAAGTTCTTAACAAATAATTTTGAGGGGAATTTCTTGTTGTTTGTTTTTAACTTGTGATGTGTCATTTTGTAAAGCAATATGAGCTGCATGTGTAAGCTTTATTATTATTATTATATTTCCCCTTGTGCCGAGATGGACAGAGGTTTTAGGAGAGCTCTACACTGCATAAGGGAGTTGGGTGGGGAGGCTCTATACTGCGTTAAGGGTGGGGGGGGGGGGGGGGGGGGGGGGGGAGGGGGTCTCTACGGGATCTACATACTCTTGCCTTGCTGTGAGGGGAACGGCAGGCTCTTGGCTCGGTCCGGGGAGTATCCTCTGCTGCTGACGCTGGAGCCCGAGCGGCTGTGGGGGGAGCGGGCCACCTCGCGGCGCACCGGGGAGCGATCCCTGGGGGGGGGGAACGGGGCGGCCTTCCTCCTGAAGAGGTCTCTGTCCTCCCTGGGAGAAGCAGAGGGGAATTATTTGAATAGTCGGATTATTCTCAGTGTTTTTTCTAAATGTTAACAGGGACAGTTTCATCCCACAGGCCATAAGACTGTTAACACACCTGGACCTTTGAAAGCACATCCATAACATTCATCTGTCTGCAACTTATATATATATATCAATATCCCAATTACTTGTATATAGACTATTCTGCACTATTTCTATTCTATAGTGTTTTATTGTGTTGCACTGTTGGAGGAGCCTGTGACCTAAGAATGTCCTCATCATAACTACACTGTAGCTGTGAACATTACATTACATTTAGCTGACGCTTTTATCCAAAGCGACTTACAATAAGTACATTCGACCAGGAAGACACAACCTTGAAGAAAACACAAGTGACAATAAAAGCCTTGAACCTTGAAGATCCTCCAGATGCAACAACCAGTGCGTGAATATAACCAAGTACACTTTACTGCAGTACTGTACTTTGAGGTAGGGCTCATTATTTGGGTCAATAATTGATATCACGATTATTAACAACGATTATCCATTTACTTTGAAAACATCCATTTATTGAAAAAAAAAAGTGAACTGTATGTTTTAACAGTTTACCTGAACTTTAAGTATAACTCAACTGAAAAACCAATAAAAAAATGTTTTTTAAACAAATACATTTAAAAATTAAAGATAAAATCGTTTTATTTCGATTATGTTGTTTTCATAATCGTTGCAAGCCAAGATCGTAATTGCGATTAAAATACGATTCATTGAGCAGCCCTACTTTGAGGTACTTGTAGTTTCCCGAGTGTTCGTGCCACTTTCTACATTTCAGAGGGAATATAAAGCATGTTTTGCTGCATTAATCTGACAGCTTGAGTTTCTTTGCCAATTTAGAGTTTCAACACAAAATAATGCATAAAATACGTTGGTTTCTTATAAATTGCACGACCCAGCAATATATATAGGCCTACAAGTAATATAATTAGACACTTAATCAAATTTGCTTATTGACAGAATTTATTTCATTTTTTCCCCAGCTACTCAAATGTGAAGACTTTTTCTACATCGAGTACTTTCAATTTTGTAACACTTTGAGATAATTTTCCTTATACTTTAAATTACATTTTCAATGCAGGACTTTTTGACTTGTAACAGACTTAAGCATTAGTCAAGTGAGTCTGAATACTTTAACAACCACAAAAGTTTGAGAGAATCTAAAACACTTTTTATTTGTTGGTTCCAGTGCCTACACAGTACAACACTGCCATCTAGCATCAAGGCCTTGACATAGGACATGTTTAATGCTGACCATTTATACCAGGTGTTTTCACACTTCCTTTCTGACATCAGCATTTATGGCTGCCATGAATAAACCACATGAACTTGGGCTACGCAGGGTTAGCATGCACTCACTCGTACCCTCTGTCTAGGTTGAGGATGGCCTGCACCAGCGTGTCCTCTCCGCTCTCGGGCAGCGACCGGGGGGCCGGGTAGAGGCCTTGGTTCCGTGCGCTGTGAGGTTGTGGTGGACGGGCGCTGAGGGAATAAACACACATATGGGAGGTCAGCTGCATTCTGTACAACATGGCATGCCTGAGAGGAAGATAAGGCAGAGTTTTGTTTTGTAAATATTGCAACAAAAGCAGTTTACCCAAACTCCAGAGGCCTTCCTGGGAGGGGCTCTTCCCTGGGAACTCTGTAAGGATACTCCTCCTATACAATACAACAAAAAAGCCCTTAATTGTGAGTGTGCATATAAAACCATTAATATTAGAACAGCTAGGTAGTTGCAATATGTCTGCAGCGACTGTTAGTGTAAATTAATATGTACAGTAAGTAACTCTGGTACAAATATTAGTATCAATAGTAATCTTAATTAAAAAGGGTTTATAAAATAACAAAACATTCACAAATATCTACAAGTTTGATAACAGGGGCAAAGGCTAATATTTCAGACTTTTTTACCTATATTTGATATTTTTCTGCTATGGAATATTCTGTTTGCACATTTATCGTCCCGTTCAAATTAAGCTCATTAAGAAAGTGAAATGCTCCTTCTCAGTTGTGGAAGTTTCTTTCTATTCAATTATGTTCATAGGTAAGAAGAAAGACCCTTTTCATACATTTTAAGGCCTCATCGCCACTTCGAGTTTTAACTGGTTACCTTGGCGACACACTTTACCTCACATTGACTATATACAGTCAATTGTCTTTCCTCCTTATCTTCCAACCATTTGGACGCAGACTTGC